AAAAAAAAAAAAAAAAAAAAAAAAAAAAAAAAAAGAATTTAATTTTCACTTGAAGATCGCTTTGGTTCCTCTTATACCTGTCATCATCGCATGGATTTTGGAGTGTTCAAAAGTACCCCAAAATTTTGATGATTTCCATTAGAATAATTTATTCTAAAGTTAAAAGTAGGAAGATATTGTTGTTGAGTTTAATTCTGGTTTTATTACACTATTTTTTAATATGGAGGTACAGGTTAGCATAGTGCAGCTGAGACCTACTCCTGCTCGTCAGAACTCCAGGTTCACTTTGGAATGGACTTTGGATTTCCTGAAAGTAACAACAGTGAGTTTTAGAAGCCTGAGGAGATCTAACTCTTCAAATACAAGAGAATCTTTATAGTAAGATAATATTTTATAGTCTTATCATTTATTTGTCATATTTTATTTCTTGTGTCCTTATTGTTTTAGCTTTTTATCATTTAAGTTATATTTCTAAATAAACATTTGTGTGATAAAGCAAAAGATTACAATGGATAACGAAATTTATTAGCCTGAAACCAGTACTGTATAGAAAATATAGGACAAGAAATATCAATTGCATTTTAAGTAACTGTACTTCTAATTATACTAATTCAATGTCTGAGGGAGTATTAAGTTCATACATGAAGTCAGGAAATGAGAAGAAATTCGGTTGTACTTTGATCGTATAACCGTATACACACAAGTTATCATTAAAAATATCTGAACTACAAAAATTGAGGTAGTATAAGTATCCTTTGAATAACTGCACATAAAATGCCTTGCAATAAAGAGAAGTGATGTTATAGTTTTTAGTTTTTAGTTTTTATTTCTTTTTACATTGCAATCTTTAGGCATGAATAAATTAAGTAGTATTTATGTGATTGTTCATTCCATATAATATGTATTATGTATGGATTGTCTTTATCAATGAAGATATTTGAATAGTTTCCTGAATTTTTCTGCTAATTTTTCCTGGATCCAAATTAACAACAAAATAAATCTATTATGTTCTCATGATAAATTTTAAAACATAGTTGTCTATGAAACAAAGAGGAACACATATGCTTTTCAAATTTTTTTGTATTTCTTCCATTTAAAATCTCTATCTCTCTTCTGACTTGCAAATAAATACATGCCATTATTAATGTCTCAGTAGTTATGCTAGCCACCCAGAATTTAAGTGCTCCAACTAATGACTATTGTAATTCCTTTATTCTTTCATCCCTCCTTGTTTTCCCTCTTTCCTTCTTTTCTTCCTTCCCTCCTTCTATCCCTTTATTTTTGTGTAAAATATTAAGGATATGATAAAGATTTAAATAATCATTTCAACTGCTTTATTTTTAAATTAAATTTAATTTTTATTTGGGGAGGTATCAGGGATCAAACTGGGGACTTTCCCTTAAAAGGCAGGTGGTGGCACCACTGAGCTAAATCCCCAGCCCTCAACTGCTTTATTATTGAAGTATATAGTTTTTATGGAGGTCAAGACATGCTATCTTCACATTTGGCAATGGCATTTGAGAAAAGAGCAGAACCAGGAAATTCATTTTACCTTCCTACTTTCTCCTCTGAAGCAAATTGTAAAACCTAGCAAGGATTTTTCCAACCTTTTCCTACAAGGCACTCATTAAAAAGCTCTCCTTGATTACCCAGATAGTAATATCCTTATTTCTAAAGATACAGGGATTCAGAAAAAAATCAAAAGAAACAACCTTGCTCAGTCTCTTCCAATTTATTCCTATTTTGTACCTTCTTTGTCCAATCATATTTCTCCACAACTATTTATCAAGTCTAGCATTAAAAATATACAGATTAACCAAGACCTGTTATGTAAAGGATCCCAATAATGAAGGTAACTATACTGTATACCTAAAATGTACCAAAAAAAAAAATATATATATATATACATACAGCTTGTCCATTTCTTTGGATCTTCATTTCCTTATAAGGGTGCCCATGTTAAATAAATTTGCATGTTTTCCTTTTGTTAGTTTGTCTTTTGTTATAACATCCTCAGCTATAAATCTAATGTGGAAAAGAAAGATATTTATTTTCCTCTACATTCAGAAGTGTTTAAATTTATAGATTTGTGACAGATTGAGATGTAATGTAGGGATATATTTAGTTTCTTATTAGAAATGTAATCAGTGTAATTCACTGATTAATACGCAGAATGCAGAAAATGATTTTATTATTGTAATAAAAATATTTAACAGAATCAATTACCAATTCACGAAAAAACTTGAAAGGAGCTGGGAATCATAGAAAAAATTATCATTCTTATAAAAAGGGAAGTGGGAGTGGTTGGGGAAAGATAAAGGAAAAGGAAACATGAGAAAAAAAGGGAAAAAATGGTAACAAAGTCTTTGTAAACAGGGAAAGGTGGGGGGTGAAGGGAAGGCAGGGGGATGGGGAAAAATTAAGAACCAAGATACATCATGTAAAGGTGCAAGATCCCAATGATGAATGTAACTGTACTGTATACCTAAAATGTACCAATAAACTTCAGGATGAAAAAAATAAATAATGACAATTATTTATAATTGTATAATAAATATGACAAGCCTTCAGGTAATATTATGAATAGTGAAAAGCCAATCCTTTTCCCCAATAACAATGGAAAATGATAAATGTGCCTGCACTGATATCCTAGCCATTGGAATATCACATGAAAAGCAAACACAAATGAAAGATACAGATTTGACAAGCAAAAATAGAGCTTTTGTGTGTGTTTCATGTAATTAATAGAATTCTAATGTATGAAATGACTAATGAATGCAATTGACTGATTTTTGTCAAAGGTGTCAAGGCTATTCAAGGAGGGAAGGAAAGTCTTCTCAATGGTATTAGAAATACCAGGAGTATCTGGAAGGCAGAGAAAACATTACCTCATACCATGCACAACAATTAAGCAAAATGGACAATATGCCTAAATGCAAAGCTGAAACTATAGAATTTGTAGGAGAAAACCTAGATTACCTTTGCAATATTAAAATAGGAAAGATTCTACACTTGATCTCAGCCAAAAGGCCGAGAAGTAATAAGATTCTAATATATTCAAAGACCATCAACCATAAAAACATTTTAGTTGGGTTTCAATAAATTCAAATATTTTGCTCTGTCACAGGCACAAGTAAACAAAAAAGAAAGCCACAGGATTAGAAAAATTATTCATAATATGTACAGAATTTATATCCAGAATTTCAGATAAAACGAATGCTTAACATATCACAATAATAAGACAAACAAATAAAATGGATTAAGATGATGGGACACTTATTTTGTAAAATAAGATACAAATCATAATTACATACATGAAAAGATGTTTAACAGATTACTTGTTAGAAAAATACAAATTAAAACCACTATAAGATACCACTAGACAGCCATCAGAACAGCTAAAATGAAGAAGATGGGTTACTACTGAGGATTGGAGGAAACAATTTACTGTACATTCCTGGTGGGAACAAAAAAATGGTAGAACCTTTTTGAAAATCAGGTTATTTCTTAAAATGTTTAAATATATGTTTATCACATGATCTAACCCTTCCTTCAATTCCTTGGATTTTACCAAAGAAGAACAAGAGCTTTTGTCCATTGAAAGATTTCTACATGAATTTTCATACTATTTTTATTTGTGAGAGCCAAAAGCTAAAACCAAATGTCCATTAATAGAAGAATAAGCAAAGCGTGGTGCACTCATACAGTGGACTAATGAAAGTAAAGAACCAAACCATCAACAAACAAATATATACAATAGATAGACCTCAAATCATTATGCTAAGTTAAAAAAGAAGAAGAAGAAGAAAAAAGATATAGGATCTCATGATGACAAATCAGTATTTGCCTGTGTGGCAGCAAGGAGTCACATACATGTGGCCATAGAAATTTGAGGTTCAGATCCACACAAACAGAGAAGAATCACTCTGACAGTACATACATGTAAAGCATTTATTAGCGAGCAAAGAGCAAAGAAGAAAGCAGAGTTACATTACCACATCAGTGATGGGGGAAAGGACATGGGAAACAAAGGGAAGAGTTACCTTGAGCATCCTAAGCAGAGCAGGATGGCTGGCACTGGTGAGGTTCACTGAGCTGCACTTGAGTTTTTCCAGCCATATATACAGAGTTTACACAAAGGTTGTTGGCTGCCAACAGACTTGCGTGTCTGGAAGGTGTTGTTCCTAGCACAGGCTAGAGCCTGGAAAAGATCAGTCCTTTGGGTGTCCACAGTTACATTCTTTTCTCAGGAGACAGCCAGCCTCTTTGTAGCAAGGCAGCAAGGCAGGTAGCCCAGGTCATTTCCATGAACACCTGCATTTTGCTGAGTGTCATTGTTAACCCTTTCCTTGACAGCCTGGGAACAGGAGTTGAGGAAGGGAAAGACTGCAAAGGGACACAGAGAAATATGGACAAGGAATTGTCAATGTCTTTATAATGATGTTTTCCCTGGGTATGTTCAAAGACAAAAGTCATTCAATTGTGCAACTTAAATGTGTGCAGAATATTATAGAGAGTGATTAATAAAGTAAAACAAACAGAAAAGAAAAAGTTAGTAAGTCCACCCAATCGGTTTTCCAGCTAAGCTTTATTGCTTTTAGTTTACGGCAGATGTTTGCAGAGTGCCGCTTGTTTCTAGGACAGGTTCTAGGGGTTAGTGTTACAGCAGCAGGTGGGCAGTGGGGACAGGGAGTGGCCAAAAAGATGGACAGAAATAATCTTCACCTTCACTTGAATATATTCCAATGATAAGGAAAAGATAATAAAGTCAAAGATGTTTGTTGAACTGTGATTAAAATAAAGCAAGTAACGGAGAGGAGTTACCAGGGATGACAGAATGTAGTTAAAATTTTAAATTGGGCAATAATTGAACAAATGGTAGCTTAATGGGTCAGTAAT